TAAGACTATTTTTCCTTCCATCAAGATTGTTTGTAATGTTCTTTTAATTTTTTTCCAATTTTTTTCAATGTTCTTGCAACAAACACTGTGATATGAAGCTTTTGATTTTTTGAATAGCCGACGGTTGGTTGAAGGTTTTGGTCAAAAAAATCATTATCGAACGGACTTTGGATAGTTTTTGTTTAGACGAACGTAGTATCAGAGATGACGATGTTCTGAGTTCATTATTGTAGTGATAACTTGTAATTCCTTGCTGTTCTGACCTTCGATTAAAACGTCAGAAAGTTTGTGCTTGAGGTATTATTTTATTCAGTCAAATTTAGACTTATTAAATCAACATTAGATGAAATTTGTTCATACCATCTGAAAAATTTTGCTAGCCGGTGCTCAAATGTTTAAATTACCTTGACTTGTTATTGTTTTTTTGCGAGAACGAGGGGGTTTGAAAATTGCTGATTTGGTTAAATTGGTTTGTTCAAGGTGCACTATAATGCTTTCTGAGAACACGCAAAAGCACCGGAATAACTTGTTCCAAATGAACTGGGGAAAATCATTTGGTCATATAAATTTGATACGAGACGCTGAAAACATCACTTTGTAGTTTCCATATCGTATGGGTGATAAAATCGAAAAAAAAACTTTTTTTTTCTTTTTTTTTATGGACAAATTTTTTTTGAATGTCCTGAAAATATATCAACATTTTGGCTAGATAGATTATGCAATCTGCTATTTTTTTGTAAAATTACAATTTCTAAAATTGAGAACCTTTTTTATAGAATTTTAATAAATCTACGAGAAAAAATTCATCTTGATTTTCAATGAGGTATTTCGTATTCAGCGAGTTATCAGATACCAGACATCCTTTCACATTGAAGCGAGGAAAAACAACTCACGGAAGTTTTCTGTTACTATATGCAAAACTTGACAGTGCATGTAGAAGTTGAAGTATTTCTTAAAACGCCTTCAGAAATTGTGTTCATGACTTTTGAAAAATATATCAGTTTCTTGGTATCAAAAATTGATTTAGACAAAAAAAGATATTTTTTCATCGTGATTGATTAAAATCATATCAGTAACCACACATTTTTTCGTTTACAAAAGGCAAGCGGTTTTTGTTTTTGAACAATTTAGATAGAATGTACATTAATTTCTTAGCTAGAGTTATTTTTTCAATTTAACACTGCAGTGTAGTTTTTCCATTATAGTGTGGTACCAAGCTACCCTTTCCTGCGAAGAATATCGTCTGGTTTTAATGGTCTACTAGTCTAATTTTGATGTTGCTGCTGGGGCACAGAAACAGGAAACAATTGTTATGCAGCTATATGTAGCGTGTTGCAGTTACATTTTTTCTTGGACAAAATAAAGCGGCTGTTTAATACCAGAAATTGTTGTCAATTTTCAAAGATGTTTTTTTCAAAAGGTGTTTTTACATTTTTTTCTACGTGTTGCAGTTATTCTTTCCTGTTTAGAAACCAAATACTCATTTGTGCAAGACGTTTTTTCAATGGGCTTTTTTATTATTTCACGTGGCGCGTTGTAGTCGCATATCCCTATAAGCAAAATAAATCAGCAGGAAACGTTTTTCCCACTTTCAAAAGAAGCTATCTAATTCAAAATACACTAGTGGACAAATTTGAGCGCAATTTTTTCTTTCTCTAAATTGTACTATTTTACGGACATTTTTGAACAACTGTTATTTAATTTCTGAACAAAACTTCTATATCGACCAATAGTACTAATCTCAACTAACTTCTCTGAAGATTTGATTTTTTGAAGCACTTATCATTTTTTTCCGGGTCTGAAAACGCCAGTTTTTACTATTTCTAATTTTTTTCCTATGAGAGTGAGCACTTTTTGAATAGACGGACTTGAAAAAAATAATCATGCAAGATGAAACAATTGAAACAAGAAAACTATTTGGTTCGGTCGGCCATTTTTCCCCAACCGCTGTTATTTTTAAATTCATATCGTTGAAAACACGATTTTTTTCCCTTTTCCGCTAAACCTACAAAATTTTACAAGTAAAATTTTTGTTCACATTTCCTGATTGTTATGAAAATTTGCAATGGTATTTATAATGAATCTTGTAAAATGAAAGGTTACACTATGAAATTTATGCTCGTGCGAGGTGAAGGTGAGAGAAAAAAGAGACGGAAACACCAAATACAAATGGTAAAAATTGGCTTTTTAGACACGGAATAAACTAATTACTGATTCAAATCAAAAATGAAGACTTTTCACTTTTTCACTTTTAGTTCTAAATAAGCAGAGAGGGTAGTTTTTTTGGTTGATGTAAAAGCTTTCTTCAGATTTCAAGTAAATTTTGTCCAAAATGATCCTTGAATTGAACATATTGAGAAAAAAAACTGCGTTAGCGTTTCATTTTGTCGGCTAGTGTAGTTGTTTTGTGATCATAGTTTGAATCCCGAAACAGAAATTATGGTTTTCCGTGAGAAATCTATTGCATTCATATACTTGTACGCATTGAGTCTCACTGCAGGTTAGTCCGAAACGCTTTAGGTTAGCACTATTGCCCATTGTACAAATGCACTACAGGGTGTCCTAAGAGAATATATTTTTTAAAAAAATAAGCAGACAATAGCTCGTCTGTGCAATGTAATTAAACTGGTTTTGGAATGGCTATACAAACAGCGCATCAGATGTGGTTTTGACTTGCTTAGGCTTTTTGCCTTCAAAAAAGATTCTATGCCGGGTAATTTCTTTTTTTTTCATTAATTACTGAGATTTGAAGCTTTTGATACATTTGGATAGACTACGGTTGAAAAAATTCCATTTTCGAACGGAGTTTGGAGAAATTAGATTCAATCATACGCAGTAGCAGTAATGATTATCTCCTGAGTTTATAGTTGAAGTGATAGCTCACTTGCAATTCCTTGTTGTTCTGACATTCGAAGAAAACGTTAGAAAATTAATGCCTAGAGTATTTTTTAATCAGTCAATTTTCAATTTTTTAATCAAACAATTTGACGGTAACTTTTTCTTTAGTATAGTATCTGAAAAATGATCTCCGGAGCTCCCATGTTCAAACAATTTTCGTTTGTGATTATTTTTTGCAAAGTTATGGGCGTTTAATTTTTGCTAGTTTTGCCATACTGGGCTATTCTACATGCGATTTTAAGAGTTCTTATAACACGCGTAGGCGGCATATTAAAAAGTTCTGAACTAAATTGGAGCAAATCATTATGTTTCATCACAATGATACGTGATATAGTAAAATCCTTGTGTACTTTACATACCCTTTAAGTCATAAGACCAAGAAAAAAAATAAAAAATCACTTTCGTTTTTTACTCAACTTTTATCCAATTTTTCAAACCTCTCAAGAAAAAGCATAAAAAATGTTAAAATTTTTGCTTTTCGCTGCGATATACTGGCAGTCTTGTTTTTTAAAAGTGTTAAGGCTTCCAAACTCAAAAAATTGCAAAAAAAGCACGGAAATTTGCATTTTTTAAATTAAAACTCGGATGTTCTTTCACATTGAAGCGAGGCCAGCTAAATCATCGAAAAAGTTTTTTTTGAAATTCATATTACTTTTTTGACATCAAAAATAGTTCGGACAAAAATCAAGCTTTTTTTCAGATCTATAAAAAGTTTTAGTACTCAGAAGAGCTTCTAATTTTTAGGAAACGTGATTTGTGTTTATGAACAAATCAGATAGAACTTCATACTCTTCGTTGTTATAAAATTCTTGATGCAGTGGTTTCAAACCAGATTAGCGTTGTACCAAGCTACCATTCTTTGCTTTTACTCTAGCATTATTGTTTCAAGCTACCATTATTTATTATCACTCCAGCATTGTTGTTCCAAGCGAAATAAAACGCCTGCATGCGAAAAATTTAAACAATTAAAATACCTGCGCGCGATGATTTAATTGTTCTGCAGTTACATATTTCTTGATGCAGTTATATTTGCGCGAGGAAAAAATTAAAGCGACAGTTTAATAATTGAAACTAAGTTCCCATTTTAAGGTTTTTGTAACATTTTCATGCGATTGCAGTTACGTTTTCCTGTGAAAAAAAAGAAAGCAACAGAAAAATATTGTTCTATTTGTAGAAGACCCTTGCTGATTCCAGTTGCACTAGTAGACAAAACTAAGCGCAAATTGATGACTTTTTGTTTATTCTCTAAAATGCTTAAAAGCAAAGACAATTTTTGTAGACTTTTACTTGAAACTGGTTTATCTGGGAATGAGCATTTTTGAATAAGCGGTATAAAAAGGATCATGCAAAATCAAACAAATCAAACGCCAAAATTGAGTTGTTCATTCTGTTGTTTTTAAAAATTCAAATCGTTGAAAATACTTATAAAAAATGGATGGTGGACATTGCTTTTTCAGACGCGGTGTAAATTTGCTAGTTCAGATAATTTGCAGACAATAAACAAATGCTGTCTAAAATTGTCCTTGAATTGGACATAATAAAAAATAAAAATTGAATTTGCGTTTTTTTGTCCTATGGTGTAGTTGTTTTGTGATCGTAATTTGAATCTCAAAAAAGAGATGGTACTCCGAACGACGTCTATTGTCTTCATATGTCTTTACGCTTTGAGTCTCATCGCTGGTAAGTTCTCTACGCCTCAAGTTAGCAGTGTATTCAATAATTACCCCTTATCTACAGCCACGGGAAAAAATTGAATATTTTTGATTTCAACGAGTAAGAAGCTAGTCGAATCGCAATTTGAAAAATTTTGTTTTGACGGCTCAAAATAACCATTATATCACAACCAATTACAGAGGTGTTCTTGTTGTGAAAACATCCTACAAAGGGCTCTGAATTCAAATGCTCAGTATGGTTCTTTGAAAAAATTACTTGTTCCCGCGTCAAAAACGGCCTAAAAACCAATTATAATTTTATGGAAAATATTAGAAACGCAAGAGCCAAAATTCGATGAATTAATAAAAAATTAAGTTGAGCTTTTCAATAATTTGCAATTTGAAAAATGTAAATGTTTGCTCTGATAGCTGGCAACTTAACTCGACAATTTGCTCACAAAAAATTTTTCGGACAAAATTAGCTTAAGAAATTGCCTATGTTCTACCCGATTCATTTCATAATACTGAAACTTGTTCTCAGTTTTACAAAATTGTCTCTTTTATTAGATTAATAAACTAATTAAAGCTTAGGAATAAGCAGTAAAATTATAGTTTTTTTTTGGATTAAAACTGAGTTTTCTTGGTCCATTTCAGACATAATTTTTCAGGTCTATAAGGAAATTCACGTTTTTTAAAAAAAAACTCAAATATGAATTAGAAGCAGTACTATGATCAAATTTGCTCCGAACTGGGTTGTTTGTACAAATTTAGGTTTTTCAACCATTTTTTCATCCAGAAAAAAGATTGTGAACTCTTGACGTTGCGTTCTCAAGGTCGCCGTGTATAAAATACCTAAATCAGCGAATTTCGCTTTGGTGTTAAACTTCAGCCAAAAAACAAACTTTTCCTGTTATTTCTAATTTTTTTCCAACTTTCTTGTATACACCCAAAATTTTTTCAATTTTGCATGTTTCCACAGCAAGATATCAACGAGTTGTGATATACTGGCTATTGCACGCTTTTGAAAACAATTTTATAAATTTTGGTTTTTCTAGCTCCTTCCAATTGAATTCATTTAGCTTGACAAAATTCAAATCTTAAATCATTAATACTTAAAAACAAAATTAATAAATACTTAAAAAACAAATACATCTTAAAATTGACAGAAAGGTGAAGAACAAAGGTCAATTGTCCGTTGAAATCGAGGAGCTACAACTTCTTTGTTTTCTGACTGAACGTCGAAAAAGCAAATAAAATAAAACAACTCAAGCTATTTCCAGCAGTTTTTTATAAACCGTTTACAGAAGATTTCTCATGGGAAGTTTTTTTGTCAAAAAAGTAAGCAAAAATTTTGTCTGGAAATTGAATATGGTTTTTTTTGTTTTGGATTATTCGGCAAAATTACAAAAAAAAATCTCGACTGAATGCTAAAAATCTGTTTTTCTTCTTTTCATGAAATCAATTTTGGCAATGATAGTGAGCGAAGACGCACTCATATTTCCGCTCTGTCTGCTGGTCGTCGACCAGCCTCTAATTATTATTGGCTACAACAGTAGCCCCACATTAAAACTATAGTTACAAAGAATGGCATTGATAAAAAATAGAGCTTTGATCCAAACAAAACAACTCAGCCTCGAATACAAGGAAACAATAGAAACGAAGTAATCGTAGACTTTGATTGGGGTCGGCTTTGAACCGTAGGCTGGGTCGACTTTGATAGATTTACTGCGACCAGCAGACACCAGAAAATTTACAGTAAATGAGTGCTCAAGCCGTGAAAAGTTCTGACCCGAAGACTTTCTATCACTAAAAGAGATGCTTAAAAAGGGGGATAATGTTTTTTCTAACTCAGCTCAAGCTTTTACGGATATTTTTTGAGTAGTGTGATAGACTATAAACATTTTTTTCGTCCTGCTTCAGAGTTTTTCCGCAAAAAAGAACTAGAAAAAAAGCTTAATTACTTTTTCTACAAAACTTTTTGGATATTACGGCTAGCCATTGTAGCTTGCTGCAAAACTTGTTGAACTCTTTTTTTTACTATAAGTAGGGAAAAAAAACTGCAAGTGCAATCATGTTGAATCGACAAAACCATTTGAATCTCCTGAGTTTTGTGATGGCAAAAGAAAACGATCTTATTTTGTGACGAAAATTGAGTCGCTTTTGGAGAGAGAAGCGAAACAATCCAATATGGATTGAAAACAATTTCAGAAAATGACCAGCAGGGTTTCCTCTGTGGAAAATTTGAGAGCAGTTTTTAGTTAATTCATTTTATTAATGGAAAAAAAAGCATTATAATCTTGTATTTCCGGTGTTAATTGTAAACAATTAAGGTCACCTTTCTCTCAACTTGACTTTTGACATTACAGCCAAGCTGACTCACTCGTTTCTCTCAACTTTTCAAAAACAGCATGACTTACAAGGAAATGACAAACTTTCAGGTAAAATAATGTTTCAATTTATACGAAAACTCGGGATTAATATCAACTTTTCTGAATAACCCCCTTATTAACAGTTCCCCTTTTTCTAACGTTCGCCTTTTAGTATTCCCCGTACCATGTAATATAATATCCCTATTTATGATATTATATTTACCTTAGATTTATCCCTGATTTACTATTGTATTATTTTTCATGTACTTACTCAACTGATGCCCAACTGCATGGAACTCCTTTGACTCAACCCTTAAAACTACCCTTACTAACAATTGGCCACTACTCTCCTCAGTTAATCGCAGTTTATTTGATTTACATTTTAAAAAAAAAAAGATAAATTATTGCTCTTGATTTCTAACCCATGTAAACTTTAAACGTTTCAATTGTTCATAGCTTCATTTACTTTGAATAATGTATTAAGTTATTTTCATCAATTATCCCCTTTCAATTCGTTTTTTGTTGCTTTGCTATTCCGAAACTTTTGTGACTCATTTATGAAAAAACTTCAGTTTTCCCGA